GCAACTTAGAGCAGTCAGTTCTTTCCTTCCACATTTACGTGGCTTCCAAGGATAGTGCTCAGATTGCAGGTTTTCACAGCAAACACCTGTACTGCTAAAGTCACCTTGCTGCCCCATCTCTGAGTTTAATTGTGTGCACATGCAGCCTGATCTTTGTTCCCCAATAGACAATGCCTGTATTATATACTCTATGTTCCCAGTAGCACCCATTTCCTTCCGGTTACATCCCCACCTGTCCTGATGATTTGAGATCTGTCTTTACTGTACTGTTTCCCTGTATCTCATCTGCCCATTGGTGTCTTGTCTAACTCATGCTAAAATGTGACTAGTTTAATTATAAAATATTATACTGTATTTTCTACAGCCAGGAGAGCTAGATCTCATTCATAGCTTCTATTTTCTGACATTTTTTCCCTTAACCATTGTTTTGGTTTTGTCTCCTTATAAAAATTTTCACTTAAAAATGTACTAAGGGCAAGTAAGATGGATCAGTAGGTAAAAGTGCGACCAAGCCTGACAACCTGAATTCAATTTCCTGAGCTCAGCTAAGGATGATAGGAGAGAGCCAACTCCACCTCTGACCTCCATATGCAGACTTCACCACTGAGCTACATTCCCAGCCCAGGAGACAATTCTTTATGGGTCTTCAAGTGCATTTTGGCCGAGCACAGATAGACTGCCTTTCCCCCCCCCCTCTCTCTCTTCCCCTCCCTCCCTCTTTCCCAAGACAGGGTTTCTCTGGGTAGTCCTGGCTGTCCTGAACTTGCTCTGTACACCAGGCTGGCCTTGTACTTAGAGATCCACCCATCTCTGCCTCCTGAGCGCTGGGATTAAAGGTGTGCCCCACCACAGCCTGGCTCCACACAGGTTTTTCAAGGATGTTTGTACCAATCAGCCTTGGAAGGCAGTCAATGCTCTCTGAGGGGGTGCATGGATGGGCACTGAGTGGACGAGCTAACAGAACAGTATGTGATAAGTGGAGGCTTTCCCTCGGTGTGCTAGCTGCATGCAGCTCCTGTTCCCCTGAGCGTTTCAACAGGTGGGGCGATTCAGGATGCTTACCACACCCTGGCAGTCCAGCTGGCCAAAGTACATTTCCATATCCATGATCAGGTCAGGCCAGGCAGACCTACTTCCTCCATTCCTGGCAGGAAGACACCATCAGCGTGGTGATGGGGAGGCAGCCATGCCACCCAAGTCTAATGCCAGCCTATGCCTAGCTGGCCACGTGACTGATGGTAAGCATTTAATTTTCTTGGACCTGTTTCCTCATTTGCTCCTTAAGTAATTTGTCTAAATCAGTGATTCTCAACCACAGCCGTACATTACAATCAGGGGACTTTAACCATTCCAGTGCCTCCACGGCACCCCAGAAGAGCACCTAACTTGGATTCCTTGTAGGGTGGCTTAGCCAGGCAGCCAGCTTCCTGCAGTAGGTGTGCATATGATCTATGACCTCTAGGATCCTCCCCTGTTTAGAGGCTGAAGCCCACTCAGCTCACTGGATGGACTGTCCATTTGCTGTTTACTGTCACAGTCATTCATACATATGGTCTCAGCCCATGCCCCTCCTGCTTCAAAGCTTGCATTTGAGGGCGTGGGACAGCAGCTTCACTGGGGACTTTGCCCAGCTCCACCCACCCTTGTCAAACCTCCTGCCCTAGCCCACCTCTTGCACTTTGATGCTTGCAATCCAGGGATCACGTTCACAAGACAGCCTGCCCAGGTATGGCCAGGGGCTTCAGCTTTTTTCCAGTCATGCAGAGCAACTGAGGGAGGAGGTGGGAGGGGGAGTGTTCAACCCCAGGAATTAAGGGTTTGACATTTCTTACCTCTGATATGGATCCACAAATCTTTTCCGAGGAAAGCCCAACTGTGGTGGAGGGTCTGGGCTGCCTGGCCAAAGCACTCAGGCCAGTCAGAGCAAAGGGCTCCATTCCCACCTACGTTATTCTGCATTGTATCCATGTCACAGCCAGAGGGAGAATCTCCGAACTTGCATTTCTGCCTTCACTTGCAGCATGCTACACAAGTCACAGGGCACAGCTAAGCCTATGTACTTAGCAATAAACATGGTCTTGCCCACTTTACAGAGCCTGTGATGGAACACACTACCTTACTACACGTACTTATGTTGAGACACTAGGAAACACTTTTTACTTGTTCGGGAGCTTTCATATAACTTCAGAGGTGCCACTCATCTGTCATGGAAGGGGATGAACAGGACATCAGAGAGAAGCTGCCAGGTGAGTGGACTGTTTCCAACAGTCTTCAAAGGAAATGGCGGCAGAGGGTGGTGTTCAGAAGGTGGTGGCTAGTGCTGTAGGCAGTGAGCCAGTCATGACCAGAGCAACCAGGCCAAGGGTTCTGGCCCTGCAAGAACTATACCAAGGAGGTATAGTTCTTCTGGGTACTTTCTTCTCAAAACCCCATGAGGTAGGAGGGTTCTCAGGGAGGTTCCACACCTTGCCCAAGATGTCAGAAGTTGGTGTCAAAGGAAGAATTTGACCCCCCCCCCCCGTAGATTTGGGAAAGTTCCTGGATGGAGTTAGCAGAGATGCACAGACCTATACTCCACTTACAAATGGGTATCTGTGAGATGCTGCTCCAGACCAGAAGTCTCAGCCTTCTTCCTGGGCTCAGGGCAGAGGTCAGGACAGACACAACCTCGACAATCCATGTACTAAAGGAACATTGCTGTTATGGGAGGAGGGAGCTGTGCTGGGCAGGACTGTCTTCTTGCTGGAAGTATTTGGCACTGCCAAACCAGTAGGACTTGCATTCGGAGAGACCCAGGGCGTCAGATTTAGTGTTCTTTGGGGGTTGGTTTGAAATTATCCATCTTAACTTCTCTACGGTTAAGTACTGTGTTCTGCTTTTACCTCACCTGGGTACCACTGCCATTTCCCCCCTTATTACCATCTGCCTCCTCTACTGTCAAGATTAATTCATGTCTTTGGAGTTTCATTGTTGCCCTGGGTACTGAACCTAGGGCCTCAGATGCAATGGGCAAGTACTGTACCACTGAGTAATTTCTTGGGCAAGTACTGTACCACTGAGCAATTTCTTCAGCCCTGCAAGGATTTTTAAGACAGGGTTTCCTTGCATAGCCCTGGCTGTCCCAAGATCTACCTGCCTCTACAAGGACTAAAGGTGTGCAAATCCACCACCCAGTTCCTTAAAGTGGTGTCCTGGAACTTTGTAGACCACGCTGGCCTCAAACTCACAGAGATGGCCTGCCTCTAAGGAAGATTTTTAATACTTCCTTTCTGCCATGTAGCTTTGCTAGAGACCTGGAAACACAAATCATTACATACCAAAAATACCAGCAGAAGCTTAAGGGCATAGATTATAAATATTTCTTTCCCACATTAGGCACCACTTTAAACTAAAGAATTGGCTTCCTTTCATGATTTGGCTGGTAATTAATAAAAACCACTCAAGATCAAAACGAAGGCCTATGAGATGGCTATTTGCCACACAATCCTCAGAGGCCCATCTGAAAATAAAGTTTTGTTTTTTTGAGACAGGGTTTCTCTGTAGCTTTGGAGGCTGTCCTGGAACTAGCTTGGTAGACCAGGCAGGCCTTGAACTCAAGAGATCCGCCAACCTCTGCCTCCCAAGTGCTGGGATTAAAAGCATGTGCCACCAACATCCGGCGAAAATAAAGTTCTTATTATGATTTTACTGTCCTTTCCCTGCCTGTGAAAGGGGAGAATAGGCTTGGGTGGTGGGAAGCAGGAAGCAGAGGCAAACGCTGGGGACTACTGCTTCTCAGCCCATCTCTTGCCTCTTAATTCTCTCCCAGGTGAATGTCAACAAGGTATGAATTCGCACTTGCCAACTGACCCATGTGATGGCAAACCTGACAACACAGGTCCAGGTAAGGGCCATGAAATGGAGCTGTGATCACCATGTGGTTAACCAGTGTTCATATTGCCCTTGAGATAGCAAGCTGATAAGATTCACACTCAATGCTATATAGTCCAAGACATTGACTCATCCCAGCTCTCAAGGGAGGCCATAAGAATCACATCCATTGAGTGGCACCTTGCTCAATTTAACTTCTCAAGCACCCAACTAAGTATCATGACTGCTACACACTGCTGTTGCATCCCAGCAGTGTGTAGCAGTCAATCAATCAAATACCCATTGTGTATTTTACTTTTATATGTATGGGTGATTTTTCTGCCTGTGCATTTGTGCACCATGTGTGTGCCTGGTGCCCTCAGAGGCCAGAAGAGGTCACTAGACCTCCTGGGACTGGAGTTACAGATGGTTGTCAGCTATCATGTGTGTGCTGGGAATAGAACCTATGTCCTCTGAAGAGCAGCCAATGCTCTTGACCACTGAGGCAACTCTCCAGCCCTTCACTGCATATTTTAAATCTCTTACTACAGGCTGAAAAGTATAGCCAAGGTAGAGTGCTCAGCCTACATGTAATTAACACTCTGGATTTGATCCCCAACCCCGAGAAAGGAAGGCGGTAAGTGTGGTTCTAGCACTTGGAAGGCTGAGGTAGAAGAACCTTGAGTTAGGTCTATCTGGGCTATATAGTGAGACCTGCTTCCAAAGATAAACCGGCTGGAGAGAAGGCTCAGGAAGCTGAGCTTGCTGCTCATCCACATGGTTCTCCTCTGGCAGCTCACAACTTCATGTAACTCCAGTCCCAGAGGATCCTGCCGTGTTTTTTGTCACAGGCATGGGCACACACATGGCATTCAAACAGACAAGTAAATTCTTTGAAAACTTAAACAAAAAACAACCTTGAATGACTGAGTGGCATCAAGCTACAAGCTTTCAGTTTGTATATCTGAGAGGATCACACAGCTTAGGTCAACACTCTATACTCACAGCTCACACAGCATCCATAAAAGCTCCAAGTCTTATTGTTTAGTTTTTAGTATCATCTTTGCTGTGATAACCAATAATGGCAACAATCTTTAAAATGTTTAAATCTAAAAAACTGTTTAATTTTCTGGGTGATCAGAGCTGGTGCTTAAAGTAAGAATTCACAACTCCAAAGAGAATGACTTCATTGAGATTGAACTGCACAGACAGGAGCTGAGTTATCAGAGCCTATTACAAGTGAGCTGTTGTGAGCTGGGGATCCATCCGGAGCAAGTGGAGAAGATGAGGAAGCTGCCAAACACACTGCTCAGAAAGGTAGGCCACACACCACCCAATTCTGTGGGTAAACAATGTTCCGAAAGGCCAATCCTTTAGTTTTCATGTTTTCTTGAGCATAGAGCTCAAGATGGGAAAATTCCCTATAGGAGAGCCACAAGGCCACTCTTACTTCTGCTGATTTCTTAAACACAAGTGACACCCCAATTCCAGACTTTTATATTCAGCTCTGCTATTCAGTTCTGCCAATCTCTGCAATACTGACTGGCTAATAAAAGACAGCATTGTCCTCAGACTAGAAAGTGGCCCACTTTTACTGCTTAGGGAAGGTCCACCTTTGCAATCCCCAAAAATGTTTCTTGGAATTTTTTTTTGCCAAGGATAAAATATAGATCTAAAGTTTTAATACCAGATTTCATTCCTTAAGTATCTTTTCTTCCACCTGGCAGTAGTGGTGCACCTCTTTAATTCCACCACTCAGGAGGCAGGTGGATCTCTGAGTTCGAGGCCAGCCTGGTCTACAAGTTCCAGAACAGCCAGGGCTACACAGATAAACCCTGTCTTGAAAAACAACAACAAAATCTTTTTCCATCTAGCTGGGTGTGGTGGCGCACAACTTTAATCCCAGAACTCGGGAGGCAGAAGCAGGAGATCTCTGGGTTCGAGGCCAGCCTGGTCTACAGTTCTAGAACAAAATTACTGATATTTCAGTCATTGATGTATTCTTTGTAAACTACCATTAAGTCACAAAATAATCATACTTCCCAGAGAGCCTTAACATTAAAAAAAAAAAAAAAAAGAGCAGGGTTTGAAAACTGTACACACCTTGATAATCCCAACATCTGGGGAAACAGGCAGATGGATCTGAGTTCTAGGCCAGCCAGGATTACATAGAGAGCTCCTGTCTTAAAAAATAAAAAATCTTAAGAACAAACCGAGCCAGGTGGTGGTGGCTCACGCCTTTAATCCCAGCACCCGGGAGGCAGAGGCAGGCGGATCTGAGTTCGAGGCCAGCTTTGTCTACAGAGTGAATTCCAGGACAGGCTCCAAAACTACCGAGAAACCCTGCCCCCTGGGGGTTGGGGGGTGGGCGGGCATACACGGACCCAACTGCTAATGATTCACCATGGAGACAAAAGCAAACCTGAAATGACCTGCCAATGGTAAGCTGTATTCCAGTGACTTTACACAGTATTCTGGAGTACTAAGTCTTTCCCCAACTTTTAGGACAAAGACATTCAAAGACTCCAGGACTTTGAAGAGATAGAAGTCTTGGTGAAGAGCAGAAACTCTGAATGGACTCAGCACACAGCATCACCTCTGACAGAGAGACCCTGCTACAATAGTGAAGCTGCAAAAATGACTTACTAGCTCCAGAACAGAAGGGTCTGGAATCACTGTCAGTAATAAGTCCTAGACCCATGTGGCAAAATACCAGGGGCTCCTCTGGGCCCAACATATTCTATTTGTATTCCCAGCTCAGTTCAGAGCCCATTGTTTCCTTATCACCAACTTCCCAGCAGCTGAGAATTGAGGGAAAAGAAATACACAGAGCGAGCACTATCCAACTGCCAGAGGAAGATGGTTTATATGGTAACGCGATCCATTTCATACTCCTGTACCTGCAATCACTTGATAATCAGAACTCTAATGGAAGGAGCACTGTAAGGATATGCATTTTTGAAGTGTTCCAAGCCTAGTATTCCAGTAACAGCTGATTAGACAGGATGGATCCTCGAGCAACAACTCCCCTAATTGTGTTTTGCTTTCAATAGAAAGGAAAATGTATGCAGGGACCTAAGGTTGGTTAATACCTAAAAATCACCATTTGTAGAACATGGAGAACTGTTTTTAAATTAATAAATTTGTTTAAAATAAATTTTAAGTGAAACACAACAAATTAGGAAGGTAATGCTATCCAGTGGCTACAGTTTGAACAGTAATCCAACCACAAGGCTGATGAGCAAATTCTTACCTGCTCTAAGTTAATAAGCATACTCCACTACAAAACAAAATGGGGGGAGGGAGGGGCACACATGGGGCTCTAGTAGCCCAGAGGGCTTTAGATTTTCTGTGTAGCCGAGGGATGACCCTGAACCTCTCACATGCTGGGATTACAGATTCAAAGACCCTCTTCTTTAAGTCCTAAACCAAAATAAGTTTCAAGAGAAAATACAATTAAGTTTTACTTCCTACCTTGAATGTAAAAACAGGAAACAACTACTAAATAACTCCCAAGCTGTTTTAAGAGAAATGAACCATCCAGCAGATTAGACTAAGAAGCCCAGAACATATATGGGTTACAATAAAACCAACACTCGACTCCAAGCTGCACATAGACAACCTGCTTATTTACAGTGATGGAGATAAGTAATGTGGGTTTACTTTTGTGCTGTGTTTATGGGAAGCAGTCCAGGTGCAGCTCACAGCTGCAAGAGGAGTCAGCAAGAGGTAAAGAAAGTTATGTGTGCTGTACCTGTTCTCTTCACCGATCCATCCATTATTAGTATCCCCAGTTGGCCAGGCAATGGTGTTCCACACCTTTAATCCCAGCACTCAGGAGGCAAAGGCAGGCATATCTCTGAGTCTGAGTCCAGCCTGGTCTACAGAGCAAGTGCCAGGAAAGCCAGGGCTACACAGGGAAACTCTGGTCAGAAAAATAAAGCAAACTACCACCACCACAAACCCCCAAACTATCCTCAGCTCATCTGGAAAGGACCGGGTCTCACCTGAAGAGTGGGATGTGATGAACAACTGCTAGGAACTAATGCTTGGCTTTATGAACACTAAGCATCTGCTAGGGCTTTTCAAATCCTAGTCACTTTTTCTTAAAAAGTATACATTTTTGTTAATACTTTGTGGCACTTAACCCATCCTTGAAAGGCTGTTTAGAATAAAAGCATCCATTCCCTGGATGCCAACCTAATGAAGGAAGATACCAAATAGTTAGTGAGAGTGTGAGTGTGCGTGCGTGCGTGTGTGCGTGTGCGTGTGTGTATGAAGTCTAAGTGTGGCAGTGTACTTATAAACTTGGGAGGATTACAAACAATTAGGAGAAAGATTTCCAATTCCCAAGCTAGCCTGGGTTACACAGTGAGACCATTTAAAGAATAAAAGGAGAAAGTGTGCCTCTTTAATCTGTCATGCACTGAGGTTAATTTAGAATGTTTATTAGTCACTACCTACACCAAAACCTTTCCCACTTAAAAAAATTTTTATTAGGAAATAGCATATACACAAAAGCACACAAACATACAATTCAAAAAGAAAAGAGCCCGCCCAGCTTGAGAAAGAGCAGTGGCCATTCCTCTGAAAACCCCTTTGCCTTCCAAGGTCATTCTCAAAGTAGCAGCTAACTGATTTGTATGTCAACTGTTTCATGTTTTTCATTTACCATGTATTTTTAACAGCCTCTTTTGACCTTTACCAAAGTGAACCGTAATGCATAGATCCTTCTGTGGCTTGCTTTTTGGGGACATTATTACATCTTGAGTCATCCATGGTCACATGTAGAGCCGGAAGTTCATGTTCTTGCCAGTGAATTCCATGATGGGGATGTGTCACACTAGTTATCTTCCCAGGATTTTGTTGGTTTAGGTTTTCTTTTCTTCATTACACAGATGACATTAAGACATTTGTTCATCCATCTCCTTGCAACATTTAAGAGTTTCTCAAGAGTATGTACCTAGGACTGCGTACAGCACACTTAGTGGTGCCAAACTGTTTCCAAAGTTGCTTCTAAACAACCTGCTGATAGACAACTGATCTACTTGGGATGGCTGAGGGAAGAAATAGATCAACTATGAAACTCTGGAAATGCATTTTAATAAAAAATCCATAATTCTGACACAATGAAAATGCCATTTACCCTGTTTTAGCTAACTTGAAACAAACTTTTTAAAAGCAACATGCTCAACTTCAAAGTGCTGTATCCTACACCTCAAAATAAATGCTTCTAAATGTAGTAAGTGAAAGTGGCAAATTCAGAACATATATGATAGACACTATCATATATAGAAAGACATCTATACTGTATATTCCCCACCTCCTACTTCCTGCCCCACCCAAGCGCTTGGAACAGGCAACATCAGGAGCTCTTAGAGAGGCAGGAGTAGAGGAGTAGAGGAAGACACAGATCACTGAACACTTCAGCTGTTGCTTTTAAACCAAGAACAAGCATTAATTACAATTGCAGTTATCAAACAAGTTAAAATGCATAGTCGTCCTGGGTCCTTTCACAAGCAAATAAAAACCAGTCAAAAAAACGCAAGCTTGAAAACCATCCCTGAATCAAGTGTCACCCCATAGAATGTTTTGTGCACATAGAAAGCAGTTAGGCAAACTCACATCACTCATCTACTTTGTATCTTTAAAAACAGAAAGATTGAACTCAAAAAACTTCCACTACTAAATTTTCAGTTTATACAACCCTAAAATCTCTAATTAGATGGCTCAGATTACAAGTTATACGAACCACTTTCTTAGACTCTGGAATGACCTTTGGTCCTCCTGTGACACTAACTATACAAGGCAAGAAATGTTCTAGGAGAAAATATCTTAGCAGAACAACATGAACAACTTAACTACTCATGGTTACAAAGGTACAAAAGTGGTAGCTGGAATCTGCTGCAGAGGCCATCCGTCTAGTCTGTCTACACTCTACAGGAGATGCTCGTCTTCTGCCCTCTTGAGAGTTACAAGGTAAAGGGCTATCAGTCTGAGAACTATGAAGTAAAAGCTCATCAAATTTTACAATGAGCTATTTGAAGAATCTCCTCTTTCAGAGACATGGGTTAACAGCATGAGACTTGCTTAAGAATACAGAGTACACACACACACACACACACACACACACACACACACACACACACACACACACACCCCTAATACATACAGACACATGCACACACACGGAACTAGCTATAGCTCTGAGTCTTATGGGAGATTAAGTTAACAGAGATTGATCAGACTGTTATATTTTCATGAGGTAAAAAAAATTCCAAAACAAAAAGCATTTAAAAGAAGATTAACTGCTTGCTCTGATTTCCAAATTAAACAGTAATTTGATTGAAACTGGCTCTCCCAGAAGACATGACACATTCACAATACTTTCTCACACACACCAAATGACAGAGACAGCTATCTGGTCTACAAAACAGAAATGTTTCTAATAGTAAGTCAGTACCTAGCCTCTACACCAGGCACCCTAAGGAGGGAGCTTTCTCAAATCTTGTATCTGCATCAATGTATCTATGTGTCCACAGAGGATGTCTTTTCACAGAAGCCCACTTGTTAGACTTCATTTAAATTCACTATTGAGTTTAGACGAGGCAGAAGAAAACAATCTGGCATTTTAATACTTGAGCAGATTTCTTACATTACGTTCTTAATACAACAATGTCATCAAACTACATGCTACCCAAAGCAGAGCTTAGAGTCGTGTGACTTGGCATCTGCCAGACAACTAACTACCTTCATTTCTACCCGCCTTCTCTCTCAGAGCTTCAGACAACCTCCCCACCTAGTGCTGGGTAGGCCTGGAGGGCCCTGTCCCCATTTCTCATATAGTGTCTCTAAAAGTGGTGACTTCATGATTCAAAGTTTGGTAGAGAATATTTTACTTAATAATGCACACTAGAAGGATCATAGAGGCACAACAGTGAGAAAAGGTGAAGACCCAGTCTCTGTGCCCTAACACTGATCAACATGAAGCCATTTCCTAGATAAGCTATTTGCTCGGTTTCTTTACTTATAAATTGATGTTAGTATTGAAAAACTATATATAAGTCACAAGGAACTGCTATGATATATATAAACATATGTTCTTGGGGATAATACTTTATACAGTTGATGGAGCCAAGTATAAACATGCTGCTGCTTCCATGTGAAATTATCACCTGCTTTGTTTTTCAAATATCCTTGTTACATATAGTACACACTCCATACACAGAAATATATATATATATACATTTATAAATGGTTAAGACTGGGTTAAAAGAAATTTTGGTATAGAATTTAACGGAAAAAAATAGCTGAAAGTTTCTGAATGTTTACCTAAATCATTTCATAGATCGACAGAGGAAGACAGAGTTTGTAAGGTTATTCAGAACCTTTTACTATTAAAGAAACCTCTCATGGGTGTAAAAATATATTCTAGTTCACTGTACACCTTTGCTATTAAAAGCAAATCCAAATTTATCCATAACCACCCAAAATTGAAGCACCATTAAAACATCAAATGGGAAGTTCTATAAAAATTACCCTTCAACAGGACAAGTTAGAAAAACTGTTCACTAACACTTGTATTAGTGTGCCTCATATTTAAAAACAAGGGACTAGATTGGAGTCAATAGCTTTATTAGAAAAAAAAAAGCAATACTAAAACCTTTCAATGACACAGACAATCAACTCTGTAACAGAAAGTCAGAGATACTTTATTTTCACTTCTAAATCCAAAGACTAAGTATAGCAGAAGTGTAAAAATGGAATCCCACTCAGTCTGCTTCACATGAATACTAACTTTTAATCCTGTTTTCAAAGTCCGAGACTGAAAACTTGCAATTAAACACTCAGCAAGCCACATGTTTAGGTAATTATTTCTTAAAAAGTCTTAAGAGAAAAAAATATGATACAGGACCTAAGTTTTCAAAGTGGCATATGTGCTAATAACACATGTTCTGAAATCTGGTAGGTCACAACAGTCCTGAATTAATTTTTAATAATAATAATAATAAAAAAACAAATAACTAACTGAGCTTTATACTTTCTCTATGCCACTATAGCTTTCTTTCACCTCATTTTAATGTTGATCTTCACTGTATGCCGTTTTCAGTATTCTTCAAAAAATCTTCAACAGTAGTCCTACAATGCAAAATTTGGGGAAAATTGATAATTAGACAGCATATAAAAGGTAAAATTTTATGACTAAGTGTTGGCCCAGTTGCTAACTGCTAATCATGGCATGTGTATGTGAAATGTCTGTATTGTTTTTACATCAAGGCATCAATGTGGTTCTTAGAGCCATGTGCCAGTGTATTCTGCCTATGTGTGAATGGTTCACACAGACATTACTACACTGCTTTTCTAAAAACAGGAATGCCACCAATTTATCAACTAATTGGTACTTCCTTTCATTAGGATTATTTCATCCCACACCACTAGCCCGAAGACTGAAGTTAGAGGTTTTAAGAACATCTATAAAACCTAGCTTTAAACAGTTCTTTAAGAACCCAACCTCATCTGATAATCAATCAGGTCTTCATGTCACTGATCCAAGTGTCTGTCCTTGCTACATGCTGTGGCTTTCAATGTCTCAGCCAGTGACTTCCTCTATACTATGGCTGACTGCAAATTCTCCTACACAGTAGGAAATGTTAAACACATACCTCTTAAAGACTTGAGAATTGCACTGAATGTAACAAGGCGGATAATATGAGGTGTTTATTGTATTTAAAATTCTTTAAAGATATCTAATTCTGGGCACCACTGCATCCCTACACACAGTTGAAAAAAAATTCCATTCTGTTAACATGATTTGTAAGATTTCACGCAATACACGAAAAACCCCTCTGTGCTTCTTGTAAAGAACAAAAGGATAGACAACAGTTAAGCGTAAAGGTCACAGGCAATAGCATTCAAACACGGATGTGGGTAGAGAAAGGAGTACCTGGCATGAGTACCTGCTTAGTTTGACTGAATCCTTGATTTCTAATTTGGCTTTTCATGGGCCGCTCACAACACCAACGCTGTGTGAGGTATGGTAGTCAGCTGCAATAATTCATAAACCCTACACTTCCATCAATCCAATGCTACTGGCTCTCGAGTTACAGAACAAACTGCATTAGAATGCAAGGCAATAAAGCAAAAAACTAGAAACATCCTTGACAAAGAAATACTAGCAGTTTAATTAAAACAAAGTAGTCCAACATGTGCCTCAGAAATAGTTAAGTTTTTACAGCATATGTCTCTGCCAATGTACCAACACAAGATGGACTTAATACCAAAAAGAAAAAAAAACAAAAACAAAAACAGTTCAACCTTGTTATTAAAAAAAGAAATGACAGCAAAATCCCTAAAAAAAAAAGGATAATTAACTTTCAATGGCGACTAAATTACATACGTGGACAATAATTTCCAAAGAGGCACACTAATGGGGGCACGAGTCTGCTACAAAATAGCTGAGACAAAACAATGTACCTCAAAATGTTTTGCAGGACTACACTGTCTTTTCCTTCAGAAGAGGCTTTTGTATGTCTTCTTACTCGGCTTAGATCCGTCTTCATCTGTGCATACTTACGCTGCACTGTCAAACAGTAACAAAAAGCCCTAATCAAAGTGAGAAACAATACACTTACCTCTGTCTGATCTGAGGTCTTATCAGATCAGTTTTAATTGGACTGAGTGTCACCTTCAGATTTAATGTCTTCACTGGTCCCATTGACCTCATTCTTAGTATCACTTTCCTTCGATTCAGGGTTTGTGTCTTCACTTTGTTTTTCTCGACTACTGGACTTCACACTACTTTTTTTATCATCAGATCCCCTCTTTTCTGCCATAAAAGAAGACATTGACCACGGAATTTAGAGTAAAATACAACAAATACATTACTCTTTTAAAGGGAAACAACAGAGATGAAAGATCCATTCCCCACAGCCTGCAAGAAACAGTTTACAGATTCACCAGTGTTGCTGTTTGTAGTTTAGAGGAAAGACCAAGAAGGGGACTGAAAGGAAACAGAAGGTAAAACAGCAAATTTTCTCAAACTTGTGAAAAGTTGGTAAATTCACCTAATTTAAAACCAGTAAATTTCATTCTAGAGAAAGATTATACAAAGGCAACAGGAAAGGCATAAAAAACAGTACACAAAGCTATTAAACACAAGGTTAACTAAGTTGCAAGGGCAAAATGGTAACCAGAAAAAAAAATTCAAATGACATGTTCACCCAATGATGAACATTAAAAAAACTAAAAAAAAAATTTGATTAAATATCCAAGAGGGGCAGACCTAATAAGAAAATGGGATCTTAAAAGTCCAAAACACCAGACCTCTGTTTTTCACTAAGTGTAAAAAGCGTGTTACAAAAAAAAAAAAAGTAGTTCCCAACTTCCCCTACTGTCCTGTTTGGTAAAGTAAAGCCCAGACTAAGACAAAGAGGCACAGTCTGCATTCCTGTTCTAAGTATCCCTCTAAAAAACAATTCTGCAGAAAATGTTAAATTAGACACCTTCTGTAAAAGCTGTTTTCCCCTTAAAACTAAGAATAACTAGTCTAGCAAAGTAGATGATGGGAAGATGTCTAAAGAGAGGAACCGTACATGGACCATAGTTACAGACAACACCGAGGATGGAAATGCAAATATAGTGTTATGAACTTGCTCTCTTATGTAAAGGAGTATGTATTAGGTCTGACATTTGTGAAACAAGCAGAGTGATGTCTAAGTGGTTAACTGTAAGACCTGCTTCATGTCTGTCTGTCCACTTGTGGGAACTGTGCTCTAACTGACCTTGCGGGAAAAGTCCTCCCTTTGTGCCTTATGGGCTTCTCCGGTGCACAGGCAGCTTCAAGGAGGGAGAGTCGTCTTGTTGCCCCGTAGAGGACTAGTAGTCCAAAAATCTTATCTTCTGGCCTATATAAATATGGTAGATCTTAATAGTCCTAAGGATATCCATAATGTGTGATGGATTTTAGAGTTAGGGATTAAATGGAAACTATATGAAGAAAGAGGGTACTTAGGTAGCTATGTGTGGGAAAGGACTTCTCATCTGTAGTTAAACTGCTTCTGTTAGATTACAGCACCCCAGGTGGTGAATAGCCTTACTCACCTACCATCATCAAATGCTTACTAACGCAGACACCTGACCCAAAGGCCAGAACACTATCACTTGTCAAGAATGTCTAGAACTTTCAAAAGTCAATGGACTCACCACTTCTAAAAGTTTAAGTTAACTCTGACAGCAAGCCCAACCAAGAGAGACCTGATTATCCAGTCTCCCTTCCTTTCCCAAGCCTCAATTGGAAACTTAAGGGTTTTACTAAATTCATCTGGCCACATGTCAATAATTCACGCTATTTTTTGATTTGCCTAGAAATCATACAAATGTGTCTATTAAAGGGACACGGCTGGAAAAGAGCAACTAATGCAACAATAGAAATATGGGATCAAAAGCTTCACAAAACGAAGGTGATTAATTTGATCTGATTCAAGAGTCACTAGATGACTCGACACCGAGTGACTCTTGAAAACTGATACCTCACTCTAAAAATAGGCAGAATCCTTCATAAACTGGGAAAGGAGCAACTGTTTACTTTTTGAATCAGAGAAGCATTTTCTGAATTTAAAATGGCAAACACCAAAGCTCCTAAGAGATTTGCCATGGTCCCCTCATTGCAAATAATCAGAGGCAAAAAAAAAAAAAAAAAGCAAGCATTTACCTCAATCTAGGAATAGCTCCTAAGTTTAGTAAAATAGCTATAAAAGGAAAACATGAGTGCCACATACATGATCACTATAACTTACAGCAGAGAGAACACACAAGCAGAACAGGACAGGATGGAGGCAGGACTGAGGAGAAACATGCCCTTTCTTTCATCCTTGAAACCACACAGAGCAAAACAGCCCAACTAATACAAAACCAAAGATGTTAAAATAATCCAAAAACAAAAATAAGTTTTGAAAGGACATCTTGATGATTAAAAACATTATCTTGAAGTAAAGGCTAAAAGAAAATAGTTTTAAGAAAACAGTCCAAAGACAAAACTTAGTCCTTCAATATCACTAATATAAACCAGCTACTGGGAGCTATAGAGAACACCAAAAACAGAGAGCAAGAGGGACACAGCATAAAACACCACAGTAAGGTATTCAACTTCTGGGAACAAGAAGTTAATTGCTAAATTAAGTGAACGCTGCACAAGAGGACAAATGAACAATGTACATTTGTTTTGTGAGACATTATCAATATTGCAAAATGTAGTTAAATAAGCAAGGTTAAAAAATTTTACAGCCTAACCATTCTTGAAGGTAATAAAAACTCAGAAGAATCTACTAAAAACCTTCAGGTTACCAACTCAATAATGAGGCTTTAATAAAAGATCTTAAAACCTCCGGTGGACTTACACTCTCACAAATCAGAGCAGGAAAAGAAAGAAATACAGCTTGAAATTAAGCTGTTCTGGCACACAGTAAAATGGAGGTCTGTGCTATAGACGGCACCTCTCATAGTAAACCAACCTTTCTCCTTGGACTTTCTATCTTGTTCTCTGTCCCGACTTTTGCTCCTGTGTTTATATGACTTTCGATCTCGGCTTTTTGACCTTCTTCGATCCCGACTGCGAGATCTATGTTTTCTTTCTGATCTGTCATGGCTTCTACTTCTTCGTCGATCTCTACTTCTTAATAATTTAAAGAAAAAGGAAACAACTTCAGCCAACATTACTAAAAGGGCTCAGAGAAGCACATACTACTATTCAATAGTCAAAAGATTTAAGTAAAACTTTCCCTTAAGAAACTAATAAATGGCTAGCCTGATTCTACTGAGTGAGTTCAGGACAACCAGGGCTAGAGAGAAACCCTGTCTTGAAAAACCACACAAACAGAACATTTTACATTAGAAATCTCAAGAATACTTATTGAAAATCTTGCCATTAAATCCCAACATTCTAGAGGCAAAAGCAGGTGGATCCAAGTGAGTTTGAGACTAGCCTGGTCTACACAGTGAACTCCAGACTAGTCGAAGTTACATAGAGACCCATTGTGAAACAAAACAAAACACAGAAATATACCATCTGGTATACTGAGTCTCTTGAAAGATTATCTCAAACCATAACAGAAAGGAACCAACCAAGAAAAAGGAAACGCACCTTTCAACTCTCATAAATCAACCTAGCACAAAGGGATGCAGTCTTGTTTTTGGTTTTTCAAGACAAGGTTTCTCTGTAGCTTCTTTGGAGGATGTCCTGGAACTCACAGAGAGTTACCTGTCTCTCCCTCGGAGTGCTGGGATTAAAGGTGTGTGCCACCCCCAGCCAAGGATGCAGCCTTCTATTCAAGTCCAACATAAAATAATCTGACTTTATGGCAACATAAAAGTAATATGCATCCATCAGTCATTCTATTTCAAATTTAGGATTTTAATCACCACCCAGGCTAGTATATCAACAGATGCTAGACACATGGTGTCAGCAAACAGTCTCCAACAGCCATGTAACCAACAAGGACAAGCAACCCACTCTAAAGAATACTGTGTCGCTATGAGATCCAGTAGTGACTTAATGATTTTTAACTTACAACAATTTTAATTTACTACATTATCTGGGAGCCCCCACCATGAGCCAGACACTGCCAGAAGGTTCACATACCTGCTTCGCCTCCTGTCTCTACTCCGTGATCTTTTATGGTCCCGGGACCTCCGGTCAGAAGTTCGGCTTGAGTGTCTACTTCGTGATCGACTTCTCTTTCTCCTTTCTCTATCACGAGCTCTTTCTTTCTCTCTTTCTTCTTCTTCTCTTCGTCTTTTTCTTTCCCGCTCTTCCCTTTCTCTCTCGCGCTCTTTTTCTCTTTCCTCTCTTTCTTGCTTCTCTTTTTTGAGACGTTCATCCCTATCAGGTTCTTCTGTTCTTTTTCTTAGCTTTTCCTAAGAGAATCAAGTTGGGTTTTGTTGTTTGTTGTAGTGTTGTGACCAGCCAGAAGGCCAAGCAGCTGAGGCAAGTGATCTATCACTGAGCCACTTCCCCCAACCCCCAGCTCAAGATAAAATTTTTATACAACTTTAGCCTTTAAGACATTCTAAAGCAATTTACAGACGAAGTTATTTATGGAATCCCATGCCCTCAGGGGAAATGCAATAATTTTGGCACCATATGTATACATAAAATACCGTAATTTGACTAACTCTTTAGGTAAACTCCCAATTTCTGACTTGTAAATGAAGGAAATAAAAATGCTTTTATGAGCCAGGCGGTGGTGGCGCACGCCTTTAATCCCAGCACTCGGGAGAGAGACAGAGGCAGGTGGATCTCAGTGAATTTGAAGCCAGCCTTGTCTACAGAGTGCCAGGACAGGCTCCAAAGCTACACAGAGAAACCCTGTCTGAAAAAACAAAAACGCTTTTACGAACAATAGAACCTCACAGGAACCACACTGCCCGATTTCTTTTAACTTTTGGTACTAGGATCATCCCCAGAACTGTGGGCACACTAAACAAGCAGGGTAGTTTATAAATCAACAGCTCCAGCACACCATTGTTTTGAAGAAATAAATGCCACTCAAGGTTTCTATCATCATTTGACCATTTTTTAGCTACACTAAAGCACAGAATTTTCAGTGATACTTACTGTTAGAAACCACAGATTATATATATGCTTATGAGAAACTTACTTTTAATTCTTCCACGGTGGCTTTAATTTTGGCATAGCCCATGTGTTGTTTTCCCATCAAATGGTCATCTACCCGGGACTGGGCATCGCCTACTATCAAAAAGGCTCCACACACTTCACAAACTTCCATCTGTTTTTCTTGGGCAGCAAAACTTTCAATAGTCTGAAATGAGAAGTAATTGCTATGAGAGTATCTGAGGGACAGAGAATAAATTCCAAAAGGAACTTAACATCCGTCTTCCATTTCTCTAGCAATAAGCTGAATACAACTGCTCAAGTTTTAGAGAGGAAAGGTTGGAAAAGAACAACCCACTTGCCTCTTACAGGAACAGAGGCATCGTTCACCTTACTTAACTGCTGAACTCCTACATCACCTTGAAAAACTTTCAGAAAGCTCTTTTAGTCTAAGTTCCTGTCACACAGATTCAGTAACTCAAAAACTATTAAGAAATTAAAGTCAAGGTGAACACTCTCAGCTCACACTACTGAGTGAACAGAACCAACGACCAATTCCACATCATCAATACCATCTAAGCACACACTGACTACTCACGGTAAGGTGGGAGACACTTTAAGACTTTGCCAATTTTAAACTAAGGGAAACAGAAGTACTGAGTGATTTAACAAAAATGACAATATAATTCAGGCTCAAATGAGCATTTACAATTTAAGGCAGGGCTTAGCAAAAGAGTGACTGAAGAATTTTTTTAATAGCTGGTTACTGAGGGACTGGCAAAATGGCTCTTGACACCTAACTGGATAACACGATATCCACAGGGTGGAAGGAGAGAACCAATGCCTACAATGTGTCCTCTGATCTTTAACACCCATTCTGTGAACAAGACCACAAAAATACACTAAATAAATGTAAAAATATAGAATACAGTCTCTTTGTAGTGAGATAACATGTAGTGACTATTTCTATCCATGTTCCTCAGCTCATAACTCCCTCCCGTAAGGCAACCCTTCCCTCACCTTTAAGACTTGGGAGTAGAGCATCAAGACCTACTTGTCTGATCACAAGGCCCCTATTTTAAATTCTGCACAACAGTCAAGGTAAGGGATATGGCAGGGGGTCACAAAAAGATCTAGACAGGCAGGCTGTTGGGTCTCCCACTTGGTCTTTTGCATTATATCATATTCTTTTTGTCTAATCACGTTTCTACCCAGTTTTCCATGTTCCATAATGCTTACAAATTAAGTCTCCATTATGACCCAGAAAAGGGCCTGGGAGCTTCCAGATACCTGAATACATGGAGGTTCCTAGAAGGTGGTGAACCTGAAGAGGAGATGGAAGCTTCACAACCCTTCTCCCATACCTATGCATCTCTTCTTCATCTGCATCCTTTGTAAAATCCTTTATAATAAGCTGGTAAACGTGTTTCAGAGATCTGTGAGGTATGGGAGCAAATTAATTGAACCCGGGGTGAGGGTTTGTGAAAGCTCTGAATTTTAACGTTAGTCAGAAGCACAGGTAAAACCTGGGGCATCTGAGTGACATCTGACACACACGAGCCTGGGACTGTGTGTGTGTGTGTGCGTGCGTGCGTGCGTGCGTGCGCACACACACGAGTGTACTGAAGGGAAGGGAAGGGAAGGGAAGGGAAGGGAAGGGAAGGGAAGGGACAAAACACAAGCTTTGGGATTGAGCTCCCAACTTATGGAATCTAAATGCTATCTAGTACTAAAAACTGAGTAAGAAGATTTGGCCAATGCTTGCTGTTAAAGAACATTTCCCGCTTGGTATTGGAGTGAAATTAATAGCCAGGAAAATAGTTCAGATGTAGAGCATTTGCCTGATAAACACAATATCCTATGTTTGATCCTTAGCACTGTGTGTATGGATATGTGTGTGTGTATGGGAAAGGCACGAAAGGACCGAAGGAGTGACCATACCAGAGTAAGCTAATTTTGAGAGCTTTTGTTTTCTATCTTCATAAATTAATGATGTTAAGGCAAAGCTTAACCTTGTGACCAACCAACCCAACACACACGCCCTTTAAAAAAAAAAAAAGCTTGATCAAGATTGAATTTAGGACAATAGAAAAAGTATTCAAAGGTGCTCCAACAAGAACAGATTCCGAGTGATTCATAATTAACAGGCTTCATGAGGACATAAAAGGTAAAACTCACCGAGGTTGTAGATCTTAGCAATTCTCTCTCTTCTTTTAACTGTTCAACCAATTTCATCATTCCCTGAGCTTCTTCTACCTTTCCTTCAGATCCTAACTCTTCAATCTGAGACAGACAGAAAAAACAAAACAGTCAAGACTCCTTTCCAATCAAGCTAAGAATCTTACAGCACCCATGCTTCATTAGCATGTAGTGGATTTATGTCTTTTTGCTTGCTAAAACTTGGGTTTAGCAAATGACCCTGGTGATTTTTTTAAACAACTTAGGTGATGTGGATTTTAAGTTCACAAGGTTCAAGTGTGTACACATGCGCATATCCACGGAAAACCATCATTACCAGCTAGACAAGTTCCTTCCCCAACCCAAAAGGTTTCTTCCTGTTCTTTTTAGTACTTCCTCCAACTTCAACCCTACACATACAACCAAGTAGGCAATCAATCAATAATCTGTGCCACTACAAATTAGAATTTTTCAAATTTCATATAAATGAGAGTATGGTTTGTATTCCTTCCTCAGTCTAGCTTCTTTCACACAGATGATTTAAATGTTCATTCATACTACTACAAATAGTAAGTTCCTTTAGACTTCTGAATATTATTTCACTATATGGCTATAACCACAATTTAATTTTGGTTTTCTTTTTCTTTCTTTTCTTTTTCAAAACAGGGTTTCTCTGTGGCTTTGGAGACTGTCCTAGAACTAGGTCATGTAGATCAGACTGGTCTCAAACTCACAGAGGTCCACCTGCCTCTGCCTCCTGAGTGCTGGGATTAAAGGCATGCACCACTGCCGCCCAGCTAATTTTGCTTTTCTTATGACAGTATTCTACCTCTGTAGCCTTGGCTGCACTGCTACTCATCATATAGTCAAAAATGGCCTTGAATTCAAGGCATTCCTACTGCCTCAGTCCTGATATTACAACAACCAGAACTGGCTTTCTCACACACTTGTTAATAACATTTGAACTAGTACAAGTATTAATGGGGTGGGGGTGGGGAGGCTCTGAGTGATTTTAACTAAAACTGTGAGCAGCATTGTACAAGTTGTATAGGCATGTTTTAATTTGTTTTGAGTAAAGGAATGGCTCATAGTACATGTTTAGCCTTTTAAGAACCAAACTAAATACACACACAGAGCAGACTAAATTCTACTGGGATAGCTGTTCCTGAATCATTATATACACCCACCATCAATATTCTGGTAATTCTAATGGGCCCAAATCCTTTGCAACACTCAAGTACTATACTACAGTTATTCTTTTTAATTGGGGCAATTCAAGTACTGTTAAATATCTCCCTGTGAGATTTCAGTTTCTATTTCCTATACAATCAATCAAAAATCTCTTCATGTTTATTCTCTGCCTTATCAGTCATGTGTTGGTCTTTTTGTTTTGTGGGTGCCCCCCGACAAGACATGTTTTTTCAGTGTAACAGTCCTGACAGTCCTGGAACTTGCTCTGTAGACCAGGCTGGCGGACAGAGCCTCTGTCTCCCAAGTGCTGGTATTAAAGGCATGCACAGTCACCACTGCCCAGCCTTTTTTGTTTAAGGCAGGGTCCTGATACTACCATCTCCACCAATTCCTACATGCTGGGGTTAACAACATTTGCCACAGCTCCTAGCTCCAATTATTTCCTCACATTTCTGTATGATTTTTACCTGCTGTAGAAGCACATCAATTTTGTCTGTCAGAACCTGAATTTTTTCTTCATTTTTGCCTGTTGGACCAGCAGCCTATTAAAAACAATAACGTGTATTAATATTGTCATTGATAAGTAAAATACCAAAGAAAGTACTTCTAATTCTTGGGTCTAGGGACGGAGCTGGTGGTAGTATGCACTAGGCCATGGGAGTTGATCCCAGCACCACCCCCTAAAGTAATAAAACATTCAAGTCCTCATGGATACAGACACATAATTCTTCCCCTCCTAGAAAGAAAGAAAGAAAGAAAGAAAGAAAGAAAGAAAGAAAGAAAGACGGACGGACCAGGGGGCTTCTACATAGCCCAGGAACTTTGAACTCAAGACCCTTCTGCCCTAGCCTTCCAAGTGCTAATATAGGATGATGCCACCATGCCCGTCAGTGCTTCTATTTAGTAATGAAAGGGAGGCAGAAAGATGGGCGTCATGGCACATATCTATAATCTCTTGCAAAGTGTAGGCAAGGAGGATCAAGACTTTAAGTCAGAGCCAGCAATGGTGGCAAACACCTTTTATCCCAGCACTCAGAAGGCAGAGATAAGTAGATATATGAATTCAAGGCCAGCCTGGTCTACAGAGTGAGTTCCAGAGCACACAGAGAAATCCTGTCTCAAAAATCAAAACAAACAAAAAACTTCTAGTTCATCCTCAGCTAAATTAGTTTAAGGCCATCCTGACCACAGGAGACCCTGTCTACGTAAAACAAAAGCAGCATTTAACTACTAAATACTAATCCAACCATGTTTGATCACTGTTAGGCAATTACATAGATAGCTACTGACACCAGAATAAAAAACAAACAAAACCTCAACCAAGCATAGCAGTACATGTCGTCTTATCCTAACACTTAGGAAGTTGAAACGAGTATTTCTGAGTTAGAGGCCAGCAGGGGCTCAAAAAAAAAAAAAAAAAAAAAGCTCTTATTAGCAAAATCAATGTTACACTTACTAATTTAAAAACTAAGAACTCCAAGAAAGCCCAATAATTAGTTTTTACAGCAGAAAGAGGGAAAGGAGAAGGAACTGGGGCTAACCTTCGGCAGCCACATACCATCTATTGAAGAAGATCCAAGGCCTATATGTCTATTTCTGAGCACCTCCATGAGCTCCAGACTCAAATAGCTAATATCTGCTGGGCACTTATCCATGTGTGTTACCACTGATCATAAAATAAACAAATTTCATGTAATTTTAAGACAAGTAATCAAAGAAGACAGATTTTAAAAATAAATATAAGATGCCTGGATCTCCAGAGAACAAGGGTTCTTTACAAAGTTCATTTCGTACTTACCCCGGAGGACTGCTGATTTTGAGATAATGCCAAACGAGCATGACCTCGTCTAATTCTACGCTCTACCTCAGCAAGTAAACTCTGTAAGTATCGCAAAAAATCTCTCTCGTAGCCAACTTTCATGAAACGAGAACTCTTCTCATACCTGATAAAACGAAAATAAACTTTTAATTTAACCATTACAAATCATATAATCTCTATCACCCCGTCTCTAGGACTGTTGCATTTAGACTGAAGAATAAACAAGATATTCCATGCAGTGAATTTCTAGAAGAAGGCATTATATTCTGCACTACTGTTGATTAACAATCAGTTTATGGGGCTGAGGAGATGGATCAGGGACCAAGAGATTTGACTGCTCTCCCAGAGGACACAGGTTCAATTCCCACCCCCACATGGCAGATCACAGCTGTCTTATAGCTCCAGTTCCAGGGGACTCAACACCCATGGCAAGGCATCAATGCACAAAAAATAAAAAGAATCAGCTTGCTGTTTATTTGATTTGGTGGTACTATGCATTAAACCCAGGGCCTTAGACATATTACCAAAGTGCTCTATCACTGAGCTATAATCTCTTCATCCCCCCTTTTATTTATTCATTATGTACAACATTCTGCTTCCATGTATATCTGCACACCAGAAGAGGGCACCAGATCTCATAATGATGGTTGTGAGCCACCATATGGTTGCTGGGAATTCAACTCAGGACCTCTGACAGAGCAGTCCGTGCTCTTAACTTCTTTGTCATCTCTCCAGCCCAATCTCTTCCCCTTTATTTTTTAAAAAGGGGCCCCATTAAGTTGCCCAGATTGGCCTTGAACTTGAATCTTCCTGTTTCCCCCAAAAAACGGGTTTTACAGGTCTTCACTCCCAGGCCTAGGTAAAATCACAAGCTTTAAACAGGTTTAAGCACCAGCTCCACTACTATACTGACAGTTCTACTACTACACTGAATCTATCTATGATCCCAAACCCACAAATCTTACCTATAAACCAGTGAAAAGACTCAGCAGGTAACTTACTGCTAAGCCTGTCAACCCGAGTTTGATCCCAGGGACCCACATGGTAGAAAAGAACAAATGCCCAGAAGTCATCTTTTTAGATCCACAAGTATACCATGGCACTGGTATACCCACACACGTAAGACACACAAATCAAATAAATATGATTTAAAAATTAAAAAGTAGCTCACCATGCTGGTATATGCTCAAATTATAGCACTAGAGACAGATGATCTGTGAGTTCGAGGCCACCCTGGCCTACATAGTGAGTTCCAGGCCAGCTAGGCTACAGAGTAAGATGGTATCTCAAGTAAAAATAAATTTTAAAAGCTGGGTGGTGGTAGCACATGCCTTTAATACCAGAACTTGGGAAGCAGAGGCAGGCATTTCTCTTTGAGTTCAAAGCCAGTCTAGTCTACAGGGCAAGTTCCGGGACAGCCAGGGCTACACAGAGAAACCCTGCCTCAAAATGAATGAATGAAAGAATGAATGAATAAAGCTGTGCAGTCAGGACAGTCACTTATATTCCTGATGCTTGAAAAATAGAAAATGGATTCCTGGAGCAAGCTGGCTCAATAGACTAGCCAGAATTAGCCAACAGGAGACTTTGTCTCAATAAATAAAGAAGGACACCCAATGAATGTCTGTCTACTTTGGACCTCTATATACATCCCTACCCCGTGCTCAAATGACCCATATGCCGAAGCTGGAGAGATGGTTCAATGGGTTACATTGCTTACTATATATGCACAAAGACCTGAGTTTGCATCCATACAAAGCCAGGAACAACAGCACAGGTAATCCCAGCATTCTTAAGAGTGAGATAGGAGGCAAAGACAGGAAAATCCCCACAAGCTTTAAGGCCAGGTAGCCTATCATATGCAGGACTGAACAAGAGACTCTATCTTAAACAATAAGAGGAGGGGATTACAAACAATTATAAAATGAACTATAAAAGAGCAAACAAGGAGAGATGTACATGTAATATAGAAAAATTGGGCATATAATATGCATTCATATGGTAGCAAACATCATTATTGAAGCTATTAAACCGTATCAGGCCCAAACAGTGTCTAGACTTCCACGAAACATTATTTTACATTAATTCCAATTGTTTCTTCAATGCTTGTCTCCTTAAACTAAATAACTAGGAGGGGAGAATGACTTTAAAAAAATACAACTTACTGTTTCCTTAGATTTTCATCGTGAATTTTTTCACATGGACCTGGGAGAGAGAAAAGAGCATGTATAAATTATTTGTGATATTAACACTCTTTCACTGGAAATAGCATCTTACTAAGTAGCCTGGGCTAGTCTAGAACTTAGGATCCTCCTACCTCAGCTTCCTAAGTGATACAGGATAATAAAAGTAGACCACTATACTAGACTTTTCTCTTTCCTTTTTAAAAAGGTGAAGGCCTTTGAGTATTTTCACTCATGTGACATGTGCCAACCTGGGCAGTGTATCCCTCTCTAATACATTTAATTCCTAGCATCCCTGTGAAACCAAATACAGCTGCCTACAGTATCAATGTGGCTACTACAGTAAATACAGCCCCTAAAAATAATAAAAATATAGGGACTGGAGAGATGGCTCAGAGGTTAAGAGCACCGACTGCTTTCAGAGGTCCTGAGTTCAATTCCCAGCAACCACATGTTGGCTCGCAACCACCTTGAATGCGATCTGGTGCCCTCTGCTGGAGTGCAGGCAGAAGACTGTATACATAATAAATAAAATCCAAAAAAAAAAAAAAGGGAAAAAAAAAAAATTTTAAAAAAAAAAAAAAGGGAAAAAAAAAAAATTTTAAAAAAAAAAAAAAGGGAAAAAAAAAAAATTTTAAAAAAAAAAAAAAGGGAAAAAAAAAAAATTTTAAAAAAAAAAAAAAGGGAAAAAAAAAAAATTTTAAAAAAAAAAAAAATTCAAAAAAAAAAAAAAAAAAAAAGTTTCAAAAAAAATATAATGGAAAAAGAACACATTTTATCACTAAGTAGACTGTAGACAATAAAATTGATGCTACTGAGTCATAAAATATCATGAAAATTGGCCTCTTTAGTCCCTAAGTCAACAAAGGGAACAGGAAACAGAAGGAAACTGTCCCTTACTGCCACCAAACAAACCCTGAATGCTAGAGACTACTGAGCGTTGATATTATCTTCAAATACTTGTACATAAAGTAACACAAAGCTCTCGTTCTCAACCATTTTTTACTTTTGGCTATTTCTTCTAAATTTAACTCCATTATTTTGGAATTCTGTGGGGTTTTTTTTTTTTGGGGGGGGGTCTTTGTTTTTCGAGACAGGGTTTCTCTGTGGCTTTGGAGACTATCCTGGTACTCACTCTGTAGACGAGGCTGGCCTCGAACTCACAGAGATCCACCTGCCTCTGCCTCCCAAGTGTTGGGATGAAAAATAAAGGAGTGCTCCACCAACACACGGCTCTGGTGCTTATTTTTAATCAATATTTTACAATGAAAATTTAGTTTGAATAAAGTGGCACACACCTTTAATCCCAGCACTTAGGAATTCAGTAACTCTTAAGTTTGAGGCCAGTCTGGTCTACACAATCAGAGCAGCTAAAACTACAAAAATACCCTGCTCAAAAAAAAAAAAAAAAAAAAAAAAAAAAAAAAAAAAAAAAAAAAAATCAACAATCTTTTGGTATTTACATTTTGTCCAGGCAAACAGCATTCTCTGGAAACCAATCAAAAGGTGTGCATGGTATTTTTGTGTTCTTTCCTTGAAACTTGTTTTTTTAAGATTTTACTTATTTATTTATTTATTTGTTTTGTTTATTTTGTGTGCAACATTCTGCTTCCATGTATATCTGCACACCAGAAGAGGGCACCAGATCTCATAACAGATGGTTGTGAGCCACCATGTGGTTGCTGGGAATTGAACTCAGGACCTCTGGAAGAGCAGTCAATGCTCTTAACTTCTGAGCCATCTCTCCAGCCCCCAAACTTTCTTTTTTTATGATTATATTTTTAGATCTTTCTTAAACACTTCCACTTAGTCAAAAATATCTCCATACTAATTTCCCTAAAGACAACAAGGCAGCAACTGATCAAGTTCTGTTCTCTGCAGGGAGCCTCACCTTACTTCCATCTGGAATGCTTATTTTCCAAGCTTACTAGAGTTGCCACATTAAAGAATTCCTTATTCATACTGTATTGGATAGAGTACCAGAGTTTATTTTTCTTCATTCTTTTCAGATCAATGAACGTTGTCCTGGATAACTTGGCTGAGAAAGGATGCATGTTTACTGAGACTTCCAATGTCCAAAAACATCTTTCTCTTCACCCTCATACTTCGATGTTTCCTATACTATTCTGGTATTAGCATCAACTCTGAAGGTATTTCTCTGCTGCTTTCAAACTTCTTGTATTGCTACTGATAAGTTTTGGGTCATTCTCAATCATAATTTGTGGTTATGTTTGCTGTTCTCAAATTCACCAAGGTGTGCCAGGGAGGCTATGGATTCTTGTCATTTGTTGTGCCTATCACGTGAAGGATTTAACTGAAGACTAATGTTCAAACTATATTTTAAAATGTATTGGGGCTTAGAGAGATGGCTTGGTAGTGAAAGCACTTATTGCTCTTGCAGAAGACTGGGGTTAAATTCCCAGTACCTACATGGTGGCTCATGATCATCCGTAACTACAATTCCAGGGGATCTGATGCCCTGTGACCTCTGTGGGCACCAGACATGCATGTGGTAAATAAATATTCACACAGATGAAAACACTCATATATATAAATGAAATAAATCTCTAAAATTTTTTAAGATGCATTTCTTTTATATTTTCTTCTAAATCTGCATTGTCTTAAACTATTAATCATGGTGCTGATTTAAACAAATGCTTTCATACTAATCTTTTTCTGTTCTACTGCACATTTCACAAAATTCCTTTTATTTTCAAATTATTCCAGTCCTTTCTATTAATGTACATATCCTTCTATGTAGCACTGGCTGGTCACTAATGTGAGGGTCTCCTGCCTCAGCATCCAGGGTACTGAGATTACAATAGGCATGCGACATCACCTTCAATTCAGTCAAGTGATTTATTTTTTGTATGTATATATGTATATTGTGTGCGACAAATGCATAAGAGTGTACAGTACTCTTTTTTTAAAGATTTATTTATTTATTATGTATACAGTGTTCTGCCTACATGTATATCTGCAGGTCAGAGAGGGCACCAGATCTCATTACAGATGGTTGTGAGTCACCATGTGATTGCTGGGCATTGAACTCAGGACCTCTGGAAGAGCAAGCAGTGCTCTTATCCTCTGAGCCATCTCTCCAGCCCCGAGTGTATAACATTCTTATATGTGCACATGCAAGCTTGCAGGAGTCAGAGCATGACTTTGGTGTCTTCCTGTTTGCTGTTCAACTAGGCTGGCTAGCCAGCCAACTAACCCACCTGCTATCCACCCCACAATGCTGCCAATACAGGCATGAGCGGCTTTTCTTGTGGGTGCTGGAGTTTGAATTCAGATGCTCATGCTACAGAGCAAGCCCTCTTACCCATTAAGCCAACCCCAGCCCAGTCCACTAGCTTTTATTTCACATGTCTCTAGTTTTAACTTCTAAAACCTTTATTTTTAAGATGTTCAGCTTAACTGCAATCTATTCTTTTTAATGTGCACATAACCATTTCTTGGAAGATACTAAGCCTAGGTAAGATTTCTAAACAATTTCAAATCTTTTCCTTTTGTATTTCCCATCATTTATTACCATCATACCTCCTCCCTTGACCATTTTGTTAACTTAAGTTAAATGTCTGCCTAGTTAGTGTTCCCTGACAGGCAACTTACTTTTTTAAAGACTGTTTTGCCAGCACACACACCATTTACATGCCTGGTCATAAAAGGACATCAGAGCCCCTAGAACTGGATTCACAGGGGTTGTGGGCTACCATGTGGATGCTAGGACTTGAACCAAGTCCTTTGCAGAGCAAGTGCTTTAAAACACTGAACCATCTCTCCAGCCCTGCCAACTAGTTTTTAAAGGATACTTCCAAATTCTGACTGGAAATTAGAATGAATGTGCAGGATATGTCAGCAAGGGCCTTTACCAAAGGAAAACCAAGAACTAATTTGTTTAAAGGAGATTCTCAGAGTTCTGAGGTGTTCCCCTGCTCCCTGTACCAGGGGGAAATTTCTAGCTATATCATTCTAAATACCTCTAAGAAAACACCACTATTAAGTGCTTACTTAGAACGTTTTTACAGGGCTGGAGAGATGGCTCAGAGGTTAAGAGCACTGACTGCTCTTCCAGAGGTCCTGAGTTCAATTCCCAGCAACCACATGGTGGCTCACAACCATCTGTAATGAGATCTGGTGCCCTCTTCTGGTGTGCAGATATACATGGAAGCAGAATGCTGTATACATAATAAATAAATAAAATCTAAAAAAACAAACAAACAAAAAAACAACTTTTACAATCCCATTTTTGCTCAGAATTGCCCTGAGGATCCAGACTCTTCCAGCCATAATATACCCCAAGGCAAACACTGGTATCAGTAATGTGAGAGAACTTACAACTCAGCCAATAATATTTGTAGTTTACGCTTCAGAGGCCTCTGGTCAATCTCTCCAAAAAATAACCCTATCTTCCTGGGGCGCTGGGGTAGAAAAGTTAGTATCAAGAAATGTACAAGAATACCTAAACTAGTGGTTCTTTACTGGGAGTTATTTAGACCCCAGAGAACAACTGTCAATGTCTGGTGCTGGTGACAGTCTTGGTTGTCATGGTGGCATATGCTACTGGAAATAGCAGGTATGGGCTAGGAATGCTGCCAACACCCTCAAATATATTGCTTCAAAATATTAACAGTATCAATGCTGAAAAAAATCAACTGAAAATCTTTCTGCACTTTTAGTCTTATGATTCAGCCCTGACTTTTATAGTACCCCGATGCCCCAAATTCAGCACTCGCCAAGATTCCGGGATCCAACGCTTGTTTTTTTCAGTCCCTTCTGCAGACTTTTCAACACAGGTATCTCTGGTCTGTTGAGATTGATATCCTAAAATTTGCTGATTCCTGATGTTACCTGCCTTTAGTGTAGTTTCCATTTTGGCCAGGCATGGTCACTTATACCTGCCATCCTAGCATTCAGAAGACATCGAGGCAGGAGGACTGCTCTATGCTTTAGGCCAGCCTGGGCCACATAAGTGCTTTGCAGGCTAGCCTGTGCTAGAGTAGAGTGTGTGTATATGAACAATTTTCGCTTTCATGTTTTACAGGTGTAGGTGTGAACATTTAATTATGCCAGTGTGTTTAAGCAAACTAACATTAACTAACATACTTATAATTGAACCAAGTAATTTTCAAATTTTCAAGGGAAGAAAACCTTCAGGATTACAAAGAAAGTTTTGAGTTTTGATTAGATACAAAGTTTTACTACATAATCTGGGCTGGCTTTCAACTCAAGACCCTTGTCTCCTGCTGAGATTATAGGCTTGTGTTGTCATGCCAGGTGAAGAAAGTTTAATTCTAAGTGTGATAAAAGGTAAACAGAAAAATCACTTACCAAGATCAGATCGAGTATTTGTAAACAATTCCGCAGGACAAAAACCACAGAGATAATATTTACAAACCTATTAAGAGAAAAAAAAGTACTTAACCTTCAAAAACTGCTTAGTTCTAAAACTTCCATTTAGAAAGACTGCCAAGTAATACTTATGTTCTGATGTATTCATCTTTTGACCAAGTACAACTTCATCTTCTAAACTCTAAACTTTATATTCTTAAATTTTAATAAAAATGAACATGACTTACAGAATTGTCAGCTATTTTCTAAAAAGTATACCAATTATGTCTATTTAAATATGATCTGTTTCCCAGTAAACATCATCTTGTTTTTTTAAAAAAGATTTATTTATTTGTTTATTTATTTACCATGTATACAGTGAATGCCAGAAGAGGGTACCAGATCACATTACAGATGGTTGTGAGCCACCATGTGGTTGCTGGGAATTGAACTCAGAACCTCTGGAAGAACAGTCAGTGCTCTTAACCCCTGAGCCATCTCTCTAGCACCCCATCATCTTGTGTTTTAAGAACTAGCTGTAAGCTGAGCATGGTACTCAGGAGGCACAGGCAGGTGGATCTCATAAGAAAAATGAAATGGGAGAGGGGTGTCCCAAGACAGGGTTTCTCTGTGTGGTCCTGGCTCGCCTTGAACCCAGAAATCTGCCTGCCTATGTGCACTATGTCTGGCAGGAAATTTTTATTATTTAAAAACAAACATCTAGAAAAATGGCTCAGCAATTAAGAGAAGGCACTTGCTCTTACAAAGGACCTGAGTCCAGTTTCCAGATTCACAACTACCTGTAACTGCAGCTCTCTTCTGGCATACATGCATGCATGCATGCACACACATCCTATGGTTCTGCACCTACACACTACAGGCCTCCCACTCACAGTATTAAAAATAGAATCTTTAGGCCAGGCGGTGGTGGCACACGCCTTTAATCCCAACACTCGGGAGTCAGAGACAGGAGGATCTCCGTGAGTTCGAGGCCAGCCTGGTCTACAGAGCTAGTTCCAGGACAACCTCCAAAGCCACAGAGAAACCCTGTCTCGAAAAAAACAAAAACAAAGAAAAAAAAAAACCAAAAACCAAAAACCCCAAAAGCAAAAATCTTTAAAAAAAACTACACCATTTTTGTAGGCCCCATTTTGTCACTGACATGAGGTACATTGTGATATTTCAGTAATATACTTGAATATAATGAGGAATGATCCCACTCCAACTTTTTCTTTTCCCATCCTAACTTACTTTCTCTTCTCTTAGGTATCTTGTACAGCAAGTTCCCCACAATCAATGTTTAAGCTTTTCAACAGCTTTTAACTAGTTACAGATTAGGCCCCGAGACTCATGGTCTAAATCAAAGATTACACTCATTTAAAATAAATTAGCTTTGTGTTTTTGCTAAAGTTCCTCTAACTGTCCATAAAATCTGCTAGACACTTCCTACAAGCCAATCTTTCACTGAGTGACTCTTCATAGACCCCTGAGGAAAGCATGAACATGAAATGAATTTAATTCTCTCCTGTTGATATTCTTTTCATTGAGACAGAGTCTCATTATGTAACCCAAATTGGCCTTGAACTCAAAACAATTCTGCTTCGGCCTCCTAAGTGCTGGTATCACAAGGTTTCCACCACACCAAGCCTACTTTTTTTTTTTTTAACTCCTCCAGATTTCATACTTAATTTGGTAAACCAAAGCACATTAATCAAAATTCCAAACTACCACCTTTCACACAAAATTTCAAGGTTACTGTGATTATCAATGCATTAACTATAACCCATGAAAAAAATATTAAATGCAAACTACAGTGAGAAGGGTAACCAGGTAGCTCACTCTAAGGCATGCAACCAGACTGAGTTCTATAGCTAGCACAAAATAAGCAGTAAAAAATCTCGAGTAATGATTCTTTTTAGACAATTAGAATTTGATGTTAATTAAATATGAAATATCAAAGCAGTATGATTTCATAGTTTTGCCAATAAAAATTGAAGTTAAAACCTATCCTCTATCTGGCCAGGCCTGGTGGCACTAGCCTTTAATCCTGGATACTCAGAAGACTGAGGCAGGAAGAGCTCAAGTTCAAAGCCTACCCAGCTTACAAACTGAGTTCAAGGCCAGCTGGGCAACTTACTGAGATTCTGTCTCAAAAAGGGGGGCGGGGAGTACTGGGGTTCAAGCTCCAGTAATTGGGAGTGGAACGAAATAGAACAAACCACCTGATGAATCAAACGAGGTCCAAGCCAGGTTAAGCGCATACTTGTAATACCAGCTGCCTTAACACTAACAGAAGGGAGTGACAAGTTTGAGGCCAGCATGGGCAACACAACAAAATCAAGACTCAAAAAAAGTTTAAGAGATTGGCAAAGGCCTGGTGTCTTTAGTCACAGAACTTAGGAGGCAGGTGATTCTCTGTAGTCTGGTTTACATTGAGTTCCAGGTCAACCAAGGCTGCATAATAACATGCTATCTCAAGAAAAAACAAAAAACAAAACAAACAAACAAACTACCACTGCTGCTAACAACCATCACCACAACCAAAACAATACCCCCCGCCCCACACATACACCTAGTCAGTGAGACTGCTCAGTTGGTCCAGATACCTGCCTGGCAAGTCTGGCAGTATTCCAGAACCCATGTAAAAGAGAAAGGAGAATGGACCCTACAAAGGTATCCTCCGGCCTCCACATGGTTCACCACGAAATACTTCCCTACATAGGTCACTCAATGCACACATGATTAACTCACACAATTATAATAATAAATTTAAAGACTGGGAGATCTCATCCTGTACAAATGACTGGTGCTGAACATGACAACTCAAGTGCCCCCAGGACCTACATAGTGGAAGAAGAGAAGTGACTCTGACTTCCTCACATGTAATAGCACATATGTAATGGCATATGCCGCCCTGACCATAAATACATATATGGTGAAATTTTGAGACTAGACAACAGACTGGGCTTTATAACAACATTAACCTGATATAACTCGATGTCTTTGTGTGTACATGTGTGGTTCTGAGGGGGCTATCCTTAACCTGTCTTGCTCTGTAGCATTTTCCTTAGAAATAACAATACTTGACTTTTAAGATCATTCTCTGCAACTTAAGGTCCGAGCCACCTTCTTTTTGAGAAAAGGCTACTCTGTAGCCCAGGGCAGCCTGGAACTCATTATATAGTATGTGTGGCTTTGAACTCATAGCAATCCTCCTGTCTTAATACCCTAAGTACCTACCGATTATAGGTATGAGCCACAATGTCCAGCCTCCAAACATTCTTATAGGTTGCCCCCCCTTTTTTTGTTTTTTTGAGACAGGGTTTTCCGTGTAGCTTTGGAGCCTATCCTGGCACTCGCTCTGGAGACCAGGCTGGCCTCGAACTCACAGAGATCCACCTGCCTCTGCCTCCCGAGTGCTGGGATTAAAGGCGTGTGCCAACACCTACCTGCCTAAAGATTCTATTTTTAATACTGTGAGTGGGAGGCCTGTAGTGTGTAGGTGCACACGCCCGGCTAGTTTGCCCATTATTAAAAAAGACTATGTGCTTTAGAAAATCATTTTAAGACTTATTTTTATGGGTATGAGTGTTCTGTCCTGCATGTATGTATGCACACTACAAGCATGTCTGGTGCTTACAGGCCAGGAGGAGGGAACCAGATTCCTTAAACTGGAATTACAGATCATTGTGAGCCACCACATGAGTACTGGGAACAGAACCAGAGCCTCAACAAGAGCAACAAATGTTCTTAAACGCTAAGCCATTTCTCCAGTTCCCATGCCTTAGATATTTAATATTTCTCCAAATTATTTCTGAACCTCCCAGATGGATATAGAAGAACATTTCTGTAATCACAGCACTAGGAAACCAAGGCAGAAGCTCTGAATTCAAGACCAGAGGCCTATAGTGATCTCACCTTGCAAAATGACAAAACAGCCAGTCATGGTAGCTTGTGTCTGTAATCAAGTGCCTGGAAGACAATTATGATCTAGCTTTTTGATAAGCTTAAGGCAGAAAAGTTAACACTCAGGAAGACAGTTTCAACTGTTAAGGAAACACAGGCACACAATCAACAATCTTGGTAGTGTGATTACAAAACTTTTTGTTGTCTTTGTTTTTTTGAGACAGGGTTTTTTTTCTTTTTTAAAAATATTTGCTTATTATGTATACAGTGTTCTGGCATATATGCCTACACCCCAAAAGAGGTCACCAAACCTCATTATAGATGGTTGTGAGCCACCATGTGGTTGCTGGGAATTGAACTCAGAACCTCTGGAAGAGCTGCCAGTGCTCTGAGCCATCTCTTCAGCCCCTCGAGACAGAGTTTTCTTGTGTAGCTCTGGCTGTCCTAGAATTCTGTAGAAAGGCTGGTCCTGGAACTCAGATTTGAATGCCTCTGCCATCCAAGGGACTGCAGGCATGCTTGACTGTGATCAGAAACCTTTAAATGGTAAGTTTCCACCACCTTCAAGTCAAATCATAAAATAAATAAATAGATATCTGCCATCAGTGATGAAAAATACTCTAAACACTACAAGGCTACAAAGCTGAGAAACAATTTGGCAGTATTTGCCAAAATCTAAAATGTGTTTCTTTTTTTGTTTTTCAAACAGTGTTTCTCTGTGTAGCCTTGGCTGTCCTGGAACTCACCCTGCAGACCCGGCTGACTTCGAACTAAGAGATCTGCCTACCTCTGCTGGGGTTACCACTCACTGCCCAGCACATGTTTTTCTTTCTTTCTTTTTTAAAGCTTAGTCACACTGTCTTTCTAAGTACCTACCAGTAGTTTACATCATCATTCTCACTCATATTCACCTCCCAACGTGCCTTCCTCCCTCTCCATGCTAGCTAGAAATGTTAAAAGACATCATTTACATGCCCAACAGGAACCAAATAATGAACATAAATTAAGGCAGGTTGATATATGCTGATAATGTCTAAATTATTAGGAAAAGCCAGAAAACAATACACACCAATTTTTAAATTTCTTTGACAGAGTATTTAACAATGGGAAAAGAACAGGCTCACTGTTCACTTCTACTAAGAATATTTTCCAAAAAACAAA